ATAGCAACATAATACATATTAGCGTACAGTATAGAACATGCAGGGCTAGTAGTACTCTCTCTGTAGTAGGTTAAGAGTCTTTTCTCTGCCTAAGTATCCTCTAACAGGCAAGTTATGTATAATTTAGAGTAGTTTAATTCTTAGTTTATTAAAATTAAAAATTATAAGTTAGTTATAGTAATATAGCTTACTATTTTAGTTTTTATAGTTAGCTAGTGTTACCTTTTTTAACTAACTAGTGCTGTTTTAGAGTAAGTCTAAAGTTTTTTAGATAAATTTATTATTTAAATACTTATTAGTAATAATTTAATTAATTATTTAATTTATTTTATTTAAGTTAAGGTTTAAAAATAACTTAAATTAAAGTAAAGTTTAGTGTTAAACCTTTTACACTTTTTTTTAAGTAAGAATATTTTAAGATTGCTTTATAAAAGCATTTAGTTTCTCTTTATTTTAACTAAGATAATAAGTAATCTTAAAATTAAAATAAAATAAGTATTTAAACTAATAAGCTTATTAGTAGCTAAGTTATTTTATAGTTATAAAGTACTATAAGTTCTTATAGTTAGATAGAACCTATATTAGATACGCTGCACCTTCTAGTTTAAGTTGCTATTATTTAAAGCAGTGTACTATAGTAAGTAATTTTTTATTATAAATTTTATAATTACCTTCTGTAAAGCTTATTCTTTTTAAAAAGTATGTAATAGGCTTAATAGTTCTATTTAGCTTAGTCTAGAAAAAAACTTCTGCTACTATGTAGTCTAAGGCATTAGCTTTTATAAGTATTAGTAGTTTAAAGTTAAAGTAGTAAAGTATTAAAGCTTTAGTAAAAGCTTTCTTTAGCTAGTTAAAGAACTATTAGTAATTTAAGTTAAAGTTAAATTAAATTCTTTTTTTAGTAAATGTAATTATAAGGCTTACTAGCTATAAAAAGTTATTAATAAATTATTAGTAAAAGTTAGTAAATTTTATAAAAGCTTAAATATTTTTTATGTCTTTTAAGTATTACTAATCTAGCACAGTCTAAACTTTAATAAGGTCTATTTAAATACTATCTATAAAGATTACATATTCTAAATACATAACTTTTAAATAGTAGAACTTACATTTATTTATATTAAGTTATAGACTTACTTCTTTTATAGCCTTTAGCACTAGGTGTATATGCTGTTTATACTTTAAAAAGCTATTACTATAAATTAGAATATTATTAATATACATAGGGTAGAACATGTTTAGGTAGGGTTAAAGTAAGTTATTTATAAAATGTTAAAAAGTACTAGGCGTGTTAGCTAAGCTAAAGGGCATTACTAAGTACTTAAATAGTTTATATTAGGTCTAAAATACTATTAGCTACTTATTACTCTTTACTATCTTTAGCTTATTAAAGGTAGTAATAATATCTAACTTTATAAAATACTTTACTTTACTTAGTTAGCTTAGAGTTTTTTATAAAAAAGAAATTAAGTATTAGTTTTTAATAGTAATAGTGTTTAGTTTTTAGTAGTAAACATAAAATTAAAGCTTACCTTTAAGTTTTTTTATAAATAGTATAAGTAACACTACTAGTAAAAAGCTAGCTTAAATAAACCTTTTTTTTAAGTTCTTATTAAAGTATTTTTAAAGCACTTTTAATTTATTTAGTAACATTTTATATAGTAGCCTATAACTAGGTTATTTACTAGGCTTAAAAGTTATTTAGTAATTATATAGATATTATATTAAAAGCTTATTAAACTTGTTTTAAAAAAAATATATAATAAGTTATAGTAGTCTTAAGAGACTATTATCTTTAGGTTAGTATGTTTTTAAGAAGCTAAAGCTTAGTTTATATTAGAAATTATAACTACATAGATTTTATAATCTAGTTATTAAGCTAGAG